ATTTTTTATTTCGTTTGAGCCACGCAGCAAACACCACTATTCACTCACGCGTTAGCGACTGACACAGACTGAATAAAAACATCGTGATCAGCGTTTCAAATTCTTTCGCTTTTTTGTTTCCGATGCGATGAACCGATAAGGCGGATTATATCCGTTGTTGCCAAACACGAGCACATAATATTATTATTGAGACAGGGCGGTACTCAAACTTCTAAAGGGCTATACCTTTGTTACTTTAATTTTACCACAAAAATGTTAAAGGAAAAAAACATTTCTTTGATCAGATCTACTCACTGTTGAAATAAATGACTCAACTTCGAAGTATATGCGCTATTGTCCACTGATGAAAATGACTGGAATAGAGATGTTCCAGTCGATACAGTGAAAGCGATGAAAATGATCAAGGACGGGAAGAAGTTGAATCGATAAGAGAATGTGTGACATCTGGATCTGCGATCAAACCAATTAACAACGTAATTTAATGGGCTGAAGAAAATGAAGTGGAATACTCCAGTCTACTAGTTTTACTAAGCATTAGAAATCAAATGGTCTGAAAAAGGTTTTATGAGAAAAAGATACAAACAAAAATTACCTCATTTAATAATGATAAAAAAGAATAAACCACTTCTTTACTAGTACATATATGCTTATAACATGTCTTTTCGTTGTTAATAAAGTTGGTTTACTAATAACAACCGTTGCTTTAGTGAATTTTAGAAATATTCCATTTAGTGAACAAATCGATCCAGTAAGCTGGCTGAGCATTAATGGGTTCACTATATCCTTGGAAGTTACTATTGACTACGGGTCAGCTTCCATGCGAGTAACCAAATGCAAAGACAAAATCATACAAAGGTAAATGAACTCTGATAATCCTGGTATAACTAGATCCACGACACGAAACTTATTAGACATCCCCGAGTCGTTCCATTACCAGATACACCTGCTTTCCACCTTCCTTTTTCAGCACATTTAAAATAGATTTCAAAAGGTTTGGGAGCCAGACTGGAACGACATTTTCACTAATGAATACAGGTTCGTCTAGACCGGATCCTTTTTAATTGACCGAATCTACTAATTGCCTGAAAATTGCTACGATTCGTTCAAAATACAGAACACAGCTTCAGGACTTCAGCGTTCCATATAATTTTCAAACTTTGAAAAATGCAATAAAACTTTTGGACAGTATTTTTCCTACAACCACATCATGATTGCTTGGTATTTGCAAAAAGTATGTTCTGAGCATTTTCATAAATATTTTTTTTATTCACCGAAGCAGCCGCATAGGTAGACGCCTAAACCGGGACACCGCGGCTGCTAAAACGAGCTTATGGACACTTTGTTAGTCCGATTTTTGAATTGACTCAGATTAATAGCCTCCTCAGGCAGATTGTTCACATAATATTGACAACCTAGGGATATAGGGATGTCATAATGGAAAACGAAAAGAAACCGCATACAGCTTCCAACCTACAATTTTTATACCCTCCAACCAATGTCTTAAAATGAATAGGAATCTCTGAAACGTTGCAACACTATGTTCCAGCAATTTTATTTCCGCCGCCTCTGAATCAATTTTCAAAATCTACTACTAACTCATCGGTGGAAGTATTAAACTTGCGATAAAATTCGAACCTTCAGTTCACAAGTTTTCTATTGCGTCATAAGTACTGATTCAATCTACTTGACGAAATATTCAAACAGCGATCATAGACGGAGATGAGGAGCCTCCAACTGGTCTGCGGTGGTGACGTCACTGACACACCGCTACAGGAGAAATATTTATATATTTTAGCAATATTTTTATATTTTAGTACGAACCACTTTAGCGTTCTAGGATACTTTTGTAAATTATGAATTAACTGTTTTGATATCTACAAATATTTTTTTAATTTCGTGATCCTTAAGTGTACAACCTATTTCGCCTAGCCTTTTATGATGATTCTCTTGATATTTCGTCAAGTAGATTGACTCAGTACTTATGACGCATTGATATACGGACTGTCAAACTGACACTAATGAGAAACACGGACTTGTGTGTTGCAGATTTTCTTAAGCAACGGAAAACTTGTGAACCCAAGTTTGAATATTATCGAGAGCTTGATAGCTCCATCGTTTAGGTAGTCGTATATTTTGGAAATTAAGGGACTGCGAAAATAAAATCGCTGGATCATAGTCTCAAAACGTTCCAGAGATTCCTGCTTATCCTCAGACGCTGTTTGGAGGGAATGGATAGAAACTGTAGGTTGGAAGCTGTATGCGGTAAATGGTCATAAATTGTTACATATTTGGCGTCAGGGAAGGGACAGATGTAGCTTGATTATAAGCAAACCTAGCTCATCAGGATTCGTTTTCGCCGTTTGAAATGATTTAACTCATCCCTTTTCTTTGAAACTTCCAACGAAGGCGTAGGAAGTATAGAGTGAATCTACTTGATGCCATTTTTATACATGCAAAAAATGAGAGTTCCGAAAGATTATTGATATCAAGGAGAATGTTGGTTTCGTGTTTAGCGTACAGATTGATTATTTTTGTGCATCTTATCCAACTATAATTCTAAACGCATCAGGTTTACGTAACCTAGCAATTATGTTGATCAGGACTTAACCTCCTTACGATCCACCGGCAGATTATATTTGTAGAATACTAATCACATGGTCTGTGCTAATCACGTTGTGTAGTCGATCACCACGGCAGCTTGATTGCTGTTGGAACTGTACCAACTTGATAATGGATACTTCCAAGCAACGTTGCCAGCCCGATGGAAACTTCGTTAATTAAATACTTGGCTCCTATTGGAAGTAGGTGACAAGGGGGAGGGTTCCATTCCAGTGTGAAATTCAAGGAAATCTGAGGAGATTCAAATGTTTCGAATGGGGTCCAATGAATATCCAAAGAAATGTGCGTGGAGTACATATTTTGTTCGAATAAATAATAATAATAATAATAATAATCGTCTTTATTGACCAAAACATGGTACATTACATGGGGCGAGATTTAGCACCTGCTATTCCACCATCACAGTCATATAGACAGACAAGCCGATGTCGAGTCCAAAAACAAATAATGATGAAGTGGTTCGCGATGCCAAAGACCAGCATATAAAAATTAGTCACAAGGTAATGTCGCAGCGCAATGGCAGTTAGTTTTTGTGGACGCTGGTTAAGCAAATTGCAGGGAACTAGCCTTCCACCACTTTCGTGCCAGGATGGAATAATTGCAACCGACTCAAATGCTTAGGCGGAAGTACTACCCAATGCCTAAGTGACGTCGATTCAAATGGTTCCCTACACTATGGAGGGAGTGACCTTCAGGCATAAGACCGTAAGTCTTGTGCTCTTGTGGTTCGACATCAACAAAGGTTCTGGTTGATACTTGAATCCGGCCGTTATGGTGAAAAGTTGTGCAGCAGTTCTTCCACGTGTCTTCCAGATATCTTATGAATCCAGCACTTGACACAGAAAGCTGGAAATTTGCTCATGATCGGAAAACGGATCTATGACCGATCCTTACAACCACAGGCCTATGGTTCTGCTTTCTGTTATGAGTAATGTGATGGAGAGGTGCATACATCGGGAGATTCTGGAGTATCTTGAACGTCACGGTTTGATTAGCGACAGGAAGTAAGGTTTCCGGCACCAGCCATCCAGTTTTATGGTGCGTTAGTGTCGTTGCTCTTGAATTTACGAAAGCGCTAGATCAGTTGTGAGATGCATCCCACTTATACGTACAAATTTCCATCATATGGCATCCCAGAGAAACTTTGCATATGGGTGGCTGACTTCCTCTTTGGCCGCAAGATATCCATCGTAACTGACGGGTTCTCCTCTTCATCCTACAATATTAACGCGGGTGTTCCCCAAGGATCGGTCTTGGCTCCGATATTGTTCCTCTTGCACATTAAGGACCTCTTTTCCTATACGATGATGATCCTGCTAGACAAACCCGCATGACTTTGGCCTACCATCCTAACCGTGTCTAGATCCGTACATCCAGATCTAGCCGATACGGCCGCTACTTTATCCCTAAGGCATCGCAATTGTGGAACAATCTACCTGAGGAGGCTTTTTCCAGTTCTACTAACCTTAGGCAGTTCAAAAATCGGAGTAACAAAGTTTTTTTAACTTCCTGATAGTAGCCGCGGTGCGCTGCCTAAGCGACTGTTTTTGTATAAAAAAATAGAAGCTTGTCAGCAAGACGCCGTTAGTATCAGTAGATATACTATTATGTCCTTGTGAAACTCATCTCAATCTATTTTGTTTTCAGGAAATCTAACAAATTCAGTGTGTTATGGAAACGATGGTGCTTTCAGACATATGTCTATTTGGACTTTTCTTGGCATTTTTACGTACTGATAGGTAGGTAGATAGATACATTTATTGTCATGTAGATCATAAAATGACATAAGAATCGTCCTAAGGGGGAGGTACATAGTACTCGTACACTTAATTAAAAGTACAAACAAAACAAACATAAGTATTTACAAAGTACAAAGAGGAACAACTTAAGGTGTACAGACATTCACATATAAGAAAAGTTTTTAAAATATATCACAAAGCGAGGTATTCAGACAAAGAGTAAAAAAATTTTTCAACTAATAATTTTCGTAGTTGACATTTAAAACTAGCAATACTACTGACATTCCTGAGGTTAGCTGAAAGTTTGTTATATATTCTGATGCAGGTGTATTCCGGTGCAGGGTGTGTCTTGGAATACTTAGACCTGTGCAGTTTCATCAATAATAAAATATATAACAGACACATAACGAAAGGGGCCACTTGATACCCAGCCAACCGTTTTGGACAACGTTGCAGGACATATTTCAGTTCTCAGCTTATTTGCAAAGAAAGAGCTTCACCGAATCTGGAAATTGATAAATGCTTCGTAGTAGGCCAATAAATAACTGGCAGAGCAAGATAGGAGATCTCGATGCACTTCCGAAGAAGGTCCCACCATGTACCGAGTCTTGCTGTTAATGATGTACATTTATATTTTTTCAGATTTATTGGATCTCGGTTGGGATCGAACGAAAACGCGTTGTGTTGGAAGAATTCTAGCATAGGCGTAGGATTAAGATACTTTTTCTGCATTCTGTATCCATATTTTTTAGTTGCAAGAGGATTCAATCTTTTAAAGGTATCTTTTCATTTTGTACAGTCTGCAATGTATTTCAGTACATGCTGCGCAATATGCGCAGAGCATACAGTGCAGGCGAATTGTGATATAAAAGACGTTAAACCTTGATTTTTATCACCTCCTAATGCAAAAACGCGAGAAAATATTGTATCGCGAAACTCACAGAATTGAAAATATATATTTTTTGGATGTTATATTACATGTATATTAAAAAAAACCTTGTCCACTCGATTTCCGTTCAGTCAATCGGGTGGTCTAGCTGGTCGGCCTGTCAGTCTGTCCGCTAATATTATAACCGCATAGTAACTGAAAAGTAGCGAGTCGGACTAAGGATCAAATTTCACTCAAGGGTTACATGAGCCAAAGGATGGAAAAACATTTGCATGTTTTTTAAAATTGTTTAGAGGGGACGGAGCTAAAGGGGTAAAACACGAAAAAAATAAAATCGTTTAATATTCGTTTTTTTATGTTTCAGAGGCTCCTGATCACTGCCGGCTGTGCCTTGGGTAACGAACTGTTACTGGTCTGCCGTGGTGTCGTCACTGACATACCGCTGCAGGAGAAATATTTATATAGCTTAACAATATTTGGACATAAGGAGTACGTAGCACTTTAGCGTCCTGCGATGCTTTTGTAAATGATGACCTGTTTTTATATCTGAACATACATTTTTCTGAATTTCATAATCTTTAAATTTTCCACCCATTTCGCCTAACCTCTAATTTATGTTACTCTGTCTATGATGGTTCTCTGAATATTTCGTTAAGTAGATTGACTTGGTACTTATGACAAACCGACATAAATGAGAAACACGGACTTGTATGATGCAGATATCTTTAAGCAACAATAAACTTGTGAACCATAGTTCCAATATTATAGTTCCAATGCTTAGATAGTCGTATATTTTGATAATTGATTTACAGGCGGTGGAAATAAAATCGCTGAAACATAGAGTTACATCGTTTCAGAGGTCCCTGCTCATTTTCAGACATTGGAGGGGATGAACATTGTAGGTTGGAAGCTGTATCCGGAAAATGTAAAAATTATAAAGAAATTGAAGATCTCAGTGATACGACACACCTGTTACACATAATAAGTCACACATGTTTTCCCTACATCTGCCATAGAAACTGAAATACGATAGATTTGCTTGATATACATAAATTCATATGTAGAGGTCGAAGATTCATCGTATCTAGTTGAACCTACCCAATCACGACCCGATTTCGTCTAGGAAGTATAGAGTCAATCTACTTGACGCCTTCTCTTCGTATTGTGTTACATGTTGAAAACGTTCATTCAGTTAAAGCTCCCGCAGCAAGACTCACATTCTGTGTTCTGGCCGATATTCTTAGTTTTTTTTTCAAAAAGTGTGAGATCACTAAATTTGGGCAATTTGTCCTTTTTTTTTCGTTCTTTTTCCGTAGTTCAGCCGCTAGTACATCGATTTTCAAAAGCTACATAGCTTTTTTGGTCCTTCGCATTGTAGTAAATTTAGGTAAAAACTTCAACAAATCCCTTTGAAGGTCATAGAGGGGTCAAGGAGAAGCGAAAAGACATACAGACCATAGATACACAGACAAACCAATAGAAATTAGTGACATGATTTTTTGTGATATACATGTAATGTAACACCCAAAAACGATAACATCTCATTTTCGAAATTTGTCGCGATTGTCATACTCCTTTGGCAACGATGTGGAAAGTAACGTAGATTAACCCTACCTCCCACAAAAAAATAACCATCGACGCCTATGATTACATACCAGATGCAGTGCTTCGTTGAGGTCTTTATGAATTGAACACATATTCCTCGTGAGTGCCATGTCATAAAAAGTATGGAAGATAATTTTTTATTATAGCGCTGTTTTATGGTTATTTTTTAAGAGATACAAATGTGTCATAGTATGATCATATAACCGATATTTTTTCAGACGCCTTATCAGGAATATATCCTTAATGTTGACATAATAATATGCTTGTACCGTAATACATATTTCGCATTAACCCAAATACGTTATAGGTCTCTCGTACTCGCGCATATTAATAACGTGGGAATCTACCAAAACTTTTCATTTTAGACCAGAAGCTGGGAATACGGAACCAAAAGTGGGTTTGAAGACTAGTGAACCATGCATACAAAAAACCATGATATAGACAAAATATTATTTATCTGCAACCCGTTGCAAATACGGTAAATAGTGCGACAAAAAAATGCGGAAGATAGGAAAAAGGCAGATCTACAACATACCCTAGTAAAACTGTCACTGTTTTTGAGATATTAATTTTTTTGTCTTTTTCTAAAAATTTCCTCGTTTGATCTACCTTTGTTGCTGATTAAGCAGGTAATTTATCGCAGTACCTTGCAGTAGCAGTCTAGTGCATTTTTATTTCATTGCTGAATACCAAAGTTGAGTAAAATAGTTTTCTAAAATAAAAGTTGCGTAGAAGAAATTAGTTTGTCAAGTTTAGCTACTTACATTTAACGAAATGATATTTCAAATGGCAGACCAACTATCTGAGAATATTTTGCAAAAAAAAGCAAAGAGATATCGTGTTACTTCTAGGCACAGCAACAAAATATAGATTAAAAAAAGACAGACAAAAAAATTAATCTCTCAAGAAGAGTGAAACATTTACTAGGGTCATTTTTTGATATCTTCACCTCTCGTCCCTATTTTTTTGTCGTACTATTTACCGGACACTCTGTATCAGAATAAATACTATTATATCGCTGGTAGTTGTGTCGTTACCTAGCAAAGGAGAAAAAGTACACATTGCGTGCTCGTCATGTTCTATTCAGCAAGTCAGCGTAAGCTCATCGCAATTAGAATAGGGTACAAAAAATACGTCGAAAACGTCCAAAGAACCTATTCATCAGCTACAGTTTTCATCCTGCTCATTTGTGATATAATATTATTTGTATATAGATGCATAACCATTTACTGATATATTATGTATCTCGACTGACCCTTGTCAGATATTGGAAGGAAGTACTGGGTAAGGATTTAAATTCTCAAAAATGCTTTCCGTTATTGTTACCACTATGTCAACGAGCTTTGCTTCTCCATGGTACCGCCGCACAATGTGCCTGCCAGACAGACCCACTTGACTTCGGCTTCCCATCCTAACCATCTCGAACGTCCAGAACTGGCAGGTACGCCCACTCTTATGTTCCTAGGGTGGAACAATCTTCCTGACGAGGCTTTTCCCAGTTCTACTAACTTTGGGCAGTTCAAAAATCAAATTAACAAGCAAAAAAACAGCAGTAGTAGGACATGTGGTTTCTTTGATTTCTCATTTGGAGCTCATTTAGACTCGGACGAGAAAAAATGTTTCGAGGTGGTGGCAATTATGTATAAACAACTGGTTTCTGTTGACTATTACTTTCATGTGCTGTGTTCTGAACTTATTCTTTATTTATGCAGTATTTTTGTGCCCTTAGGTTGTGCTCATGGCTGTAATATAATACCGATGGGCGACCTTCACAGGTATCATTTGTAATTGTTATTCCACTGTAATTTCCATGATAACTTGTTTGTCTGAATAAACGTATGTAACGTAGAGTGAAGATAATAAAATGGGTGTTGTATGTCGATTACCATAATGAAAATGATAATCTGTCTGCCATTGTTGGTTCCGAGAATCTATTCAATTCCATAGAGAAAAAAATGGGGGTGGTCCCGCTCAACCCAGTAACACTTTTTTTTTATCGAAGCTGCCCCGTGGACAAAAGCCTAAGTGCCAGGGCACCGCAGCTGCTGTAAGAAGCCTAAATGCAATTTGAGAATTCAATTTTTGTACTGGCTACGATTAGTAAAACTAGGGAAAGCCTTCTGGGGCAGATTGTTCCCCAGTTCTGGAGCTAAGAAATTCGGCACGGTTAAAATGGGATACCGAAGTCAGGCAAGTCTGTGTGGTAGGTCCATCGTGCGATGGTATCCTAGAGGACAGCTCTGAGAAGCAAAGTCCATTTTCATATCAATAGAAAAGAGCCAGATCGTCAACGGCCCGGCGTCGCGTCGGTGCGAAAGGGTCCCGAAACTGTCCTTTAGAGAAGAGTCAAACAACCCTCCTAAGAACAAAGTAAAGCTTGGAGAATGTATTCGGGGCGGCAGCATCTCAAACATGCAGTACTCGAGGCTAGGTCTCATTGGGACCTTGTACAGGGTGGGGAGGTCATGTGGAGAAAAGTACTTCATAACCATAAACAAACAGGGTAGCTTTTTCTCAGCAGCCAGATCAAGTCCTCGGTGATCTAGACACCGACCAGCCGAAATTAACGTCTCTTTGGATTCGGTCATCCACCGAAACCGGATTGGACACTAGGGCGCTTCTTGTTATTCAAGGTACATTACTGTGGTTTGGAATCATTTAACTGTACCAAATTGTTGCGTCCCCAAGCAGAGATAAGCGCCGTTGTATACTACAGTTTTTGCGTTATAGCCAAGAATTCTAGTTGTTATAAAATGTACCATAATTTTTTTTCTAAAACACTTGCACACTTGTGATCCGAATAAGAACTCTTGTTATTGTTAATCGTATTTATATATTTATAACGTTGTATCGACGCAGACGGCGTTGCTGAGTTTTGTCGGCAAACTTTTAGATTTAATGGAAGACGGTAAGTACACGGTTGGGGTCTTTTGTGATCTCAGCAGGGCATTTGACTATATAAACCATGAATTGCTTCTAAGGAAACTAGGTCAGTATGATTTAGTTGGTACACCTCATGATTAAATTCGCTCATTTTTATGTGATCGAAGCCACTATCTGTGCTTATCACAAAATTACGACAATCTCATTTCTGAACTTTCTTTTGCGCAGGCCAACCTCACGCTCTATGCAGAGGTTGCGACAATAGTGTTGTCGAACAAAAGCGACCTCATATTACATAATGAGTTTGGGCATCTACTGAACGGCATCCATGAATGGTTTACTGATAATTATATTGATTTAAATCTAGAAAAACATGAATTATGAGATTTCGGAATACGCAA